AACCCCCACCAGGGATCTGCCATGCTCAGCAGGCTCAGGGTTCCCCATCAGCCTTACAAAACAGCGCTCGCAGAATCTTCATGAAACCTACCTCCCACAAGCAATGTGGAACCATCTGGAATGTCCTTGACCGCCTCTATTGGATCACTGTAGAACTGCACTGGTCTCTTTGTGGAGCTGGAGAAGAAACAGCCGAACAGCTGGGAAAAGGACAGCAGTGGAGTTAGCAAGGTGGAGGCATTCAACAGGAAGACAGAATAAGTAAGAAAAGGAGCAGGCGTCTGATTGGCTGGGCTCTGGTACTGGGTGTAGGTAGGGCTTTACCTGATGGGTGTATTCAAAGTAGAGGTACACCCTTGGTAAATGCACTGGATAACAATTCTAATTAGCACAACTACAGCATTAGTACTGTAAAATGCTACTGCTACCACCTGGTTTGTACTGCAGACATGTGGCTGAAATGGTGCGGAAAGACAAACATTGTGTTTCGCTGCATCTAAAGAGTGATGTCACTCTACCCTTCTTAATGGGCTGATCTCAGCAGTTCCAGGGGTTAAAGGCAAATACAGGGATAAGAGCATGACAGACATCTTAGACGTTACTAAACAATAAATCAATAAGCTCACATAGTGCTAAATCTGCTTGGCAGCCGAAAGCGACACTACGCCACCCTGTATTATTCATAAACTGTCAGCAAATAGATTTCCCGGGCACTAGATTTAAAAAAAAAAAAACTGTAACTATACTACTATAATATTAGATGATTTAGTTACAACATGTAATACAGTGACAAAAAAGAATTTACAGATTGCGAGCTTGGTAATTTTTAAGAAACGTGTAATTTACACATGCATAAAAAGGATCTATAACTGCTGCACCTTACAACAGCTTGGCTGTGTGCCTTCAAGGACAATGATGTGCTCTGCCACTGTCACACAAACTCGGAGCGCGGTAACTGCAGGCAGGCAATAAGGGGAAATGCACCGGCTGCGCAGGTCTCTGCTCCTTACGCTAAGGTTTGTTTTTTGGTTTTTTTTTTTAAACTTTTTTATACTGGATGGGCCAAAAGTATGTATACAGTTTTTATTTTACAAAAAAAAAAAAGTTTTTATTTTACAAAGTTATTTTTAAAAGTAGGTGTGCAGTTTTTATTTTACAGTGCTGATTGGGTCATGTTTAGTCTCTCGGGTGCTCGAGCCTGTCCCTGACACTGTGACAAACTATAGCACACAAATCCCGGTTAGCATCAATGTCCACAAATGCTTGTGAGATGAACTCCTTTAATTCATCCATTGAGAGGGGCTCCCTCTCAAAAACCTTCTCCTTTACGAGCCCTCCCCCCCCGCCCCCGCCCAAAAAAAAGTCGGGTGAATGTGGTGGCCAGTCAACCCTACAACGTCGCCCGATCTAAGGCCGTGGAGAGGTGTTGTCAAAACTGTATAGGCCTACCTACATTTAACAATAACTTTGTGTAAAATAAAAACTTTCTTTGTAATATAGAACCTTTAGTTTACAAAATAAAAACGCTATACTTACATTTAACAATAACTTCTTTTTTTTTTTTTTATAAAAACGTTCTTTGTAAAACAGAACCTCTACTTCGTAAAATAAAAACTGTATAGCCTACCTACGTTTAACAATAACTTTTTTAAAACAGGACCTTTACTTTGTAAAATAAAAACTATAATTAAAATAAAAATTAATCCTACTTTTGGTCCACCCTGTATAGTCTGCAATGTATTTCTATTAGCAACTTTTAATATCCGATGTATAGACTATAAATAAAAATGCATTTTAGTGCAAACTAACACAAATTAAAATATGAAAAACATGATTGTAGAACGTATGCTGATTTAAAATTTTAAGAGTATTTAAATACCGACCTTGAGAGGCTGAGAGGTGCCGCTTAAATGAACTCTGTAGGCTGCATGGGCATTTCTGTAAACTCCTTCCAGTCTTGCCAGTGTTTTGAACGTAGTCATCTTCCACAAGAGATCAGCTCCTACTCAGAGGAATAATGATGAGGAATTGGCAGCGACGATCCGTCTGTCCGTCAGCCGGACACGGAGAGGGGGAGATAAACGGGCATCGGGAGGGAGGGGGCGTCGCGCAGCCAATTAGGGATTAACCTAGGTGGCGCGCGTGACGCCTGACGGTTTGATTAAGAGAAATGCGCCTCGGAGTTCCGACGGCTTTTACCGATGTACTTATGATATTACGCAATTTACTAATATTTTTATGTAATTACTTTATACGTAAGTAATTTTCTTTTGTACAACTGTATATATTTTATTATTTCCCTATCTCTTCCTCTTGTACGTAGAGGTATCAGAGATAGCATGAAGGATCGGCTGATGTGCGCCAGTGTCGCCTCTCACTTGGCACTCGCACTGGTTTATCGGAATCGTGCCAAGTGTGGTTTACGCACAGCAACCTGGGTTATAGGGCCAATTCATTTATGCCATCGTCGGCCCAAGTATGCTCGGATCAATGGTGGCATATTACCAGGGTCGCCAACTCTTACGTATCTGGCGTGACAGTCACGCATTCAGACTCAGGCTCATGCAAAAAAATCTATGTTATTCCATTATAAACCTAAAATTAGGTACACCAAAAGCGTTAGGGTGGTTTGCAAACCCTACAGACTATTTAAACGGTATTAAAACTGTTTCATGTAAATGAGTATGCAGACTTGTCTCGAACTGACCAAAGTCGGCAGTCCTGTATTACAAGGGCACCGATAAAAGTATGTAAATCGTGTTTTTCATGTCTGTCTGTCAGCGAATGCTGATATCATGATCGTTAGCTGATTTTTGTGATAAATTGTTAAATAAGCTGGCTCGACTTAGTCTTTATAATTGTATGTCAATTAAATTATAGTAATTTAAATATTCAATGTAATGCCACAATGTAATGCATGCCTGTCAGAGTTTCTGCGCCTCATTGGGCTGAAGGTGACCCATCTCATTAGGCCGGACTTGACCCTGATTCAACCCATCCATCCATCCATCCATCCATCCATCTAACGTTCCCGATTGTCCTACTCAGAGTCAAAAATTTTAAAAACTATTTTTTAGTAAATTATCTCATCAGTCACATGCATTGTGCTTTTGGAATTTAGCTGCTGTGAACTAAGAAGCCCTGGCTTTTGATCTCTGCATATTGACACATGCCAAATTCTGCCCGGACCTCTTGCAACAGAGGAGCACGTGTTCTACCAAACATAGCTTCAAAGAAATCAATACAATCCAGGGGAAAGGTCTTTTTCTCATAAATACGGTTACACTTTGCATTGCTTTTAATAAACTGCTCAACCCAGCATTTGCAGGTTCTTAAACATCAACTTGGTCCCATTAAACGGCATTTATTTTATTTTATTTAAAAAAAAAGAAAGTGGTATAATATGAATACTACAGTTATGTAATATGAACCTTAATCTTACATTATCTCGGCAAACTCAGATTACAGTTCAAATCAGCCATTCAACGAGATATAGCTATAGCTTATCTTACTGGGAAAACTTTTTAACAATTATTTTTGATGGGATTAAGTGAGGTCAGAAAACAATGTTGATTTTTTTGTTGTGATAATGCACACATGTAAGTGACAACAATAAAAAAATGACCAAATACATGATTACAGCTCCTGCATCTTCTCTAAGATAGCGGTAAGGCACTGATGCACGCAGTTAGCGTAGACAAACTCCGTTAATGCTGCTTCCCGATAATGTCAGTAGCCAAGGGTTTCATTCGTGTTCCCCATGATGATGAAGCCTAGTTGGGGTTTATATGAGATTTAAAAGCACCAGACGAATGGTTTGTACGAGATCTTTATTACTAAGGTTGCAATCATTTACTGCACGTTTAAGACGAAGTCACATGACCGCTACTGCGGGAGGAGGAGGTGTGTCACATGACCGTTGTTGCGGGAGGGCGGGGCTGTGTCACATGACCGGGCCTCAGCCATGGCCGACGACGCCAGACGGCGGGGCTTCGAGTTGGAGCGGAGGGTGTTTGAGCTGGATAGCAAGTGCTCTGGCCTCCGCATGGAAAAACACGGTAAGGCGCCGCCGTTTGAATGTCCGGTTTGTATAGCGATACTTATTAGGAGCTGCCGGAGCGAGACTGCCCGCTCTTTTCGCTGTTGTAGCTACGTGTTTTTAGCGGCGCGCTTTAGCTGACACTCCTGACCGGGCGCTCTCTCACTGGACAGCCCAAACGTTTGACCGCGGATCCCGGCGCGTCAGTGACCCGGCTAACGGGGCTCCGTTTTCGCTCGTCGTTTCCCTTCTTTCTTGGGTATAAAGTCGTTTCACTCGGTTTTTTAAGTGCAATGCCCGCATTTGACTGCCGGTTTAACCTCCCTTCATGTGTGGCGGCCTCAGTCTGTCCATGAAGGATTAGGGTTCAAAAAAGGCAAAAGCTGGTATAAACATCTACATATATTTGCGTTTTCTGTCTCCAAGAAGGAGATTTTGTTTTTCGGAAAGTATCCCTGGCAGTTTCGGCTGGCCATGGTTTAAACGAAGCTCTTAATAAGACACCGAAATGCTGCACACACCTCGTACAGTGTCACAAAGTAGCATCGTACCGCAACACTCACTTGCCTTGGCGAAATGCATCATTTAGTAACTCATTAACATTTTCTGTTTTTCCCAGATGATGATTATTTGCAGAATGCCTCCACCATACTAGACAAGCTGAAGAACTACTACAGACACGGGGCCGAGAGCAGCAGCCTACCGAAGCTACTGCAGGATTACACCCAGGTAACTCTTTGCTGCGGGATTAAACTCAGGTAACCCTCTTTGCTGCGGGATTACACCCAGGTAACCCTCTTTGCTGCGGGATTACACCCAGGTAACCCTCTTTGCTGCGGGATTAAACTCAGGTAACCCTCTTTGCTGCGGGATTACACCCAGGTAACCCTCTTTGGATTGCTCTCGGGTACTGTTTTTGCTGCGGGATTAAACTCAGGTAACCGTCTCTGCTGCTGGATTAAACTCAGGTAACCATCTTTGCTGCGGGATTACACCCAGGTAACCCTCTTTGCTGTGGGATTAAACTCAGGTAACCGTATTTACTGCGGGATTACACCCAGGCAACTGTCTTTGCTGTGGGATTAAACTCAGGTAACCCTCTTTGGATTGCTCTCGGGGACTGTCTTTGCTGCGGGATTACACCCAGGTAACCATCTTTGCTGCGGCATTACTCCCAGGTAACCATCTTTGCTTTGGCATTAAACCCAGATAACTGTCTTTGCTGCGGGATTACACCCAGGTAACCGTCTTTGGATTGCTATCGGGTACTGGTTTTGCTGCAGGATTGCTCTTGGGTACTGGTTTTGCTGCAGGATTATGACCTGGTCGGGGACTGTGATTGCTGGCAGCAGACTGATGATGAAGTCCAGGCATTTCAGGCTGATTGAATTCTGTGAGGTTCTACTTTCTGCCTTGCGATGGGTTGGCACCCCATCCTGGGTTATTCTCTGCCTTGCGCCTGTGATAGGCTTCTGAGATAGGCTCTGGACCCCCACAACCCTACATAGGACAAGGAAGTATACTGACACTGACACTAAACATGATATTTATGGTGTATAAAAACGTACATTTTTAAATTTTCACCAGGCTCAATTTGTATAATTTTTTTTATACAGTTTTATACAGTTGTTAGAAAGTGGAAACTTTGATGAACATGAAATCATCAGTGTCCCTAATTCAATTCAAAGAGGCAATACATATAATTACGTGGAAATAAATACTTAAAAAATCTTTTTTGAAACCAAGTCTTGTTTATATAGACTGTCTGTCCAACATTTCAAACTCGGTTTTTTCTAAAAACGTTTCAGTGTTTTGTCTTGCTAGGTGGCTAAAGGAGGCTGATGTTCATTTTTATTATCTGACATTTGGAAAGAGACCACATAGTAGCATGCGGTGTTCAGAAGAAAGGGAATCTTTTCTCCATCTTGTTGTTTGTTTTTTTTAATTGATAAGCTCACAAGCACATTAATTGAATACATTAATTTGAACAAATTGGTACACAGATCAAGTAATTACCCAAAGTTTATTTCTGTTTCGATTTCAGCAGAAAAAAATATTAGAATTCAGTTTTGGTGTGTTTGTAAAAAAAAAAAAAAATCATTTCCTTTCCTTTTTGCATTACCTGTTCATATATCTTTGGGGTACATGGTTCTGCCTGTACTGTGCCCCGATTCTGAGTACTGAGTCCTGGGTAGTAAGGAAATGATGACACTCTTCTCAGCATGTTCATGTAGGTTTCCTTTGGGTTCTCCAGGTTTCTTCTATAGTTCCAAAATGTGCTGTGTGTGTTGCCATGGGAATACTGCTGATTCGCTGATGACTTTAAGTAGGCATGTAAATTGCTGGCCCCAAGGAATGGTTTGATGTATTGGAAATCTTCAATTTCTATCATGATTCGATTTCATTTAATCAATTGTTTAATTGGATAAACCACATTCAAACATTTTTTAACTTCACTGAAAAAAAAAATCACTAATAGTACAATGGGAACTTTATTACACAAAGATAGTAGAATCTCAGAACACAAATTATTATTAAACAGGGAGAACATGCCAGTGTCAAATTGTCAAAAGGCAAGCTACTGAACTATGCAGAAAAAAAACAAAAACCTTAAGCACAGCCCAGCTTTCCCAGCCTCCTAGCGCAGATTAGCAGAATGACCTTCAATCATTTTTTATTTTGGGGAAAATGAAAGATTAATCTGCGGGCTGGATTTAATAATGAATTATAAACACTTTGCGGGCTGGAACTTTGAGACCTTAAGTGGTGAAGGAGCTGACAGTCGCTTGTTCTCTACTATAGAAAATAGCTGATCGTCCAATGTAATCATCTTCATTATTTTGTAGTTGTCTGTAGCTCTTGCGCTGTTAACTTCATATATCGATTTAGTTTACATATCGGACAGCACTTAAAGATTGACACGTCGCCCCGATGCTGATGTCTTAATTTTAACACATATTGGCCAATAGCAATATGTTAACCACTGTCCTGCATCTAAGGCTAACAATACTTTTTACTTAGCTAGCCAGTTAGCTACCTCAGGGTCTTGACCATTGCTACCGCAGCTTGCAAAAACAGAATGACTTTCACATGATAAAACAGAGGCATTTCGCTAAAGCATCGTAGCACAAAGATCA